GAGCACGATTCTGGTGGGAGTCGGACCAGCTAGAACCTCGATCTGGTGTTGACTTTCGGGGCTTCGGGGAAGAAGGGTCCACGGTCAAGTTTGCGGAAGCGCTGGGTCGGATGAGGCTCTGACAGCTGGACTTCTCAGAGCTTCTGTGTCCTCAGCACCATCACGGAAGGCCAGCTGCGGGCAGGCGCAGGGCCAGGGGCTGGGCAGCGGTGCCCATCCAAGAGGACAGATGCTGGGGACGGGGAAGTGGTAACCAGTGCTTGACTAATGGCAGCTGTCCTGGTGACTCCGTGGAGCAGCACCGGGGTGAGCAGCTGCAGGAGGCGCTTAGTAGGAGACGACACGCCAGCCGAGCGCTTAAGGGGGAGTAGGAGCTCGGTGTGTGCATGCGTGTATGCGTGCGTATGTGTGTGCATGTGAGTGTGTGCACGAGTGTGCGTATGCGTGTGTATGTGTATGTGTGAGTGTGTATATATGTGAGTGTATATGCGTGTATGTGTGCATGCATGTGAATGCGCGTGTGAGTGTGTGTGCGTGCACACGCGGGATCCTTCGGTCAGCGGGTGTCCTGGAGGAGGAGGGGGCAGGCCAGCGTGGCTGGGCCTTGGGTCCTGGTCTGGGGGCCGGGCTGGGACTGGGGGGCAGCAGGATGCGTGAGGCAGGGCCAAGTCTTACGGAGCCATCTGAGTCTGTCTGATCTCATCCCAGGAGCAGCGGGACGCTGTTGGTGGGTTTCAAGCGGACGTTGGCATGACCGCCGTCTTTTTAAAGCTGCTCTGGAGCGTGGGCTGCCAGGGCCAGGCGTGGGCGTGAGAACGAGCGAGAGAATCCACGGGCCCAGGGGCGGCAGCATGGACCAGCGAGCAGTGGCCTCGGAGGAAGGTGGACAGGGCCAGAGATGCCGGCGAGGCAGACGTGACTGCTGTCGACGCCGGTGCCTGCGCGGCTGACAGGGTCATTCGCCGAGTCAGGGGACAGAAGGGAAGTCCGGGGGTGCGGGGAGGTGGCATGGGGTGCGGGGCGGGCAGAGGCCAGTTTTGTGCGTGTGGGGTCGGAGGTGCTTCTTCTAAGGCACCGCCTTGAGTTCTGAGTACGGGCGTCGGCCAGGGTGGTGGACACAACCAGCTGTCCGTGGGGTCCCCTTC